CTGCCTGCTCCTGTCGGTCCCTCACTCACCCGACTCTCCTTTGGCACAACCGCCTAGGTCACCCTGCGCTCCCGCGTCTGCGTCACATGTCCCAGCACGGTCTCGTCCTTGGTCTCCCTGGTTCGTTCCCCGCTTTTCCCTCCTCCCCCGCCCCACCCTGCACGCCGTGTGTCGAGGGTTGGCTTCGCCGTGCCCCTCACTCCTCCTCGTTTCCCCCTACTGCCGCGCCGCTGCAGACCCTGCACATGGACGTCTGGGGCCCCGCCCCCGTCCATGGGCTGCGTCGAGAGCGCAACTTCCTCGTGCTTGTCGACGACTTCACTCGCTACACCACAGTCTTTCCCCTGGAGCGAAAGGCCGACGTGCCCGATGCTCTCATCCCCTGGCTTGTCTCTGCCCGTGTCCACCGAGGTCTCCCTGTCTTGCGTCTTCACTCCGTCCGTGGTGGCGAGTTTGCCTCTGGTGTCCTTGGTCGCTTCTGTCGTGCGGAGGGCATCACCCAGACATTCACCCTGCAGGACTCCCCACAGCAGAATGGGGTCGCTGAGCGACGCATCGGTTTGGTCATGGAGGTGGCTCGCACCTCCATGATCCATGCCGGTGCACCCCATTTTCTGTGGCCGTTCGCCGTGCGCTACGCTGCTCACCAGCTTAACCTGTGGCCGCACCCCCACCGCCCTTAACCTGGTTTAGCCGACTCGTCTTTGGACCGGGTCTGCTGGTGACGCGTCTGCGTTCCACGTCTGGGGCTGCCTTGTTCACGTTCGTGCCTCTGGCACGGACAAGCTCACTGCTCGCACGCTTCCCTGTGTCTTCCTAGGTTTCCCCCTTGACGCGTCCGACTGGCACTTCTACCACCCGCCGTCTCACCGGTTCTTTCACTCTCACGACATCACCTTTGACGAGTCCGTCTCCTTCTACCGTCGCTTCCCCCATCGCGGCCCCCCTATTACTCCCCCCTTGTTCCTGGTCACTCCTTCCCCGGTGGTCCCAGCCCCCCCCCCCCACCCCCTCCCGGTCCTGCCCCCTCTAGTGTGTCCCACGCCACTCCTCTCCCGTTGGTTCTCCCGGTCGAGGAGTCTTCTGACTCTCGTGGTCCTGCGGCGCAGTCCTCGCCGTCTGCCCCTCCCTAGGTATCTCCTCCTCCACCGCCTCTGCAGCCGCCGTCGCCTCTGCTGTCGCAGCCGTCCTCTCCTCTGCCGCCGCCGCCGCACCCGTCGTTGCCGCTGCCGCCGCCGCCGCCGCTGCCGCAGCAGCAATTCGTTGACCCTGGGGGTGCTGGCGTTGGGGTGGGTGCTAGTCCCGATGGCCCTGGGGGTGGTACCGGTGCTCGAGGGGTTTCGGGCTCTGGGGGTGTTCCTTTTGGGGGTGCAGGAGTGGAGTGTTCCGACGGTAGCCGAGGAGCAGCTTGCGGTCCCGGTGTCGGTGTTGTGTCGCTGCAGCCGCAGTCCCCGCCGGTGTCAGCCCTTCGCCTGCTCGGCTTTCCGTCCCGTGACCCAGCGTCTGTTCCTCTCCTGCCGTCTCCTCCTCTTCCTGTCTACGGCCCTGTGTTCCCTCCGCCGGACTCGTCCCCGGCTCGTCTTCCCCCTCGCTCCCCACTTGTGTCCCCTCCTCTGTCTCCTGACCCGACTCCTCCGTCTCACGTCTGGTCTCGCCGTCCCTCCCGTGCTCGCCCTGCTTCCCCTGTCTCGCGCTCTCACCCTATGTTGCTTCGTTCCCACGCGTCTCGTCCTCCCCTTCTCCCGTCGCCCCCTCCGTCCTCACTTGTCGTTGCTCCCCCCCCTCTGTTTGATTATCTGCGTGCCGCCCGTCCTCTTGTTCCTCGGGTCCTTGCCTCTCTCGTTACTGACCCGTGTGTTCCGGTTTCGAGTCTTGACGCCCTTGTCGCTGCGGTCGCTGACTTTGCCTCTACCCGCCGCCTTGACTACGCCACCGCTCTGGTCTCTGACCCTGCCTGTTCTCCATCTGTCAGGGGTGCTCCTGCCCTCGGCAGTGACGTCCTGGACCGCCAGTTCGAGCTTGCTTTCCTGTCCGAGGCTGCTCCCCATCTCTGTTCCATGCTGCTAGTCCCTGAGGGTGACCCAGACGCTTTCGACATCCCGACCCCTCACACTTACGCTGAGGCTGTTTTGGGACCTTGGGCCTCCCAGTGGATAGCTGCCATGGAGCAGGAGATGGCATCTTGGAGATCCACCAGCACCTATTTTGACGCAGTTCCCCCAGCTGGGGTGAACGTAGTCGATGGCCGCCGGCTCTTCAAGGTGAAGCGCCCTCCTGGAGAGCCGCCTGTGTTCAAGGCGCGCTACGTGGCTAGAAGCTTCAGTCAGCGTGAGGGGGTGGACTTCTGTCAGACTTTCGCTCTGACCCCGAAGATGACTACTCTTCGGGTTCTGCTACACGTAGCAGCTCAGCGTGACTACGAGCTTCACTCCCTCGACTTCTCCACTGCCTTTCTTCAGGGCAGCCTACACGAGCAAGTCTACCTACGTCGCCCTCAGGGCTTTACTGGCACCTTCCCTCCTGGGACCCAGTGGCTCCTGCGGCGTCCCGTCTACGGCCTGCGGCAGGCTCCCCGTGAGTGGCACGACACGCTGCGTACTATCCTTGCTGACCTGCAGTTCTTTCCGTCCTCTGCAGACCCCTCACTCTTCGTTCGTGCTGGCCAGACTCCGTTCTACATCCTTGTTTATGTGGACGATCTGGTCTTTGCCACAGCAGACAGGGACGCACTGGCCTCGGTGAAGGCAGAGTTGCTGAAGAGACACACTTGCATTGACCTTGGAGAACTGCGCCACTACCTTGGCTTGCAGATCTTTAGGGATAGAGCAGCGCGCACCATCACCTTGACTCAGTCACACTTGGTGCGCGAGGTCCTTTAGAGGTTCGGCCTTCAGTTCTCCTCTACACAGCCCACCCCTCTGCCTCTAGACCACAGACTCTCCGCTCCAGTTCCTGAGGAGTCAGTAGAGCCCACTGGTCCTTACCCTGAGCTGGTGGGTTGCCTCATATACCTGATAACTTGCACTCGCCCAGATCTCGCATACCCTCTCAGCATCCTTGCCACAGGTAGACACCGACCGCAACACTGGTCTGCCGCTAAGAGGGTTTTGTGTTATCTTGCAAGTACATCGGGCATGGGGTTAGTGCTAGGAGGACGCAGGCCAGTGGTCCATACTGGACACACGGACGCTTCTTGGGCAGACGACGCTGAGACCCTCAAGTCTTCCTAGGGCTACTGTTTTAGCCTTGGTTCAGGTGCGGTCTCGTGGAAAGCTACCCGCTCCTCGTCTGTTGCCCAGTCCAGCTGTGAGGCCGAGATCTACGCCGGTGCCATGGCGGCACAGGAGCTCCGCTGGCTGACCTTCTTGCTCACTGACTTAGGTGAGCGGCCTAGCTCTGCCCCGGTCCTGTACGATGACAACAGGGCCATGATCCTCCTGTGTCAGGAGCCTCGACTCGAGGGCAGAGCGAAGCACATCCAGCTGCAGTACTTCCTCCTGCGCAAGCTACAGCAGTGCCGCCAGGCTCGCGTAGTACACTTGGCCTCAGGTGCCAACACAGCTGATATCTTTACAAAGGCGCTTGCGCCTAAAGATCATCAGCGGCACTGTGTACAGCTCGATCTCGTTCCTGTAGCGTCTCACTTGCTAGGGCCTTGACTTTGTACTGTCCTTTATATATATATATGTACTCAGACCGGACTTGTGTCCTCTCCCGGTGGCTGGACTAGTAGTGCCGTCCTAGTCGTGTTCTTGCCTTGCCTGTACTCCTTTTGACTGGTCTTTAGACCCTTGTCTCAGTGGGTGGACTAGTAGTGCCGTCCTAGTCTTGTTCTTGCCTTGCCTGTACTCCTTTTGACTGGTCTTTAGACCCTTGTCTCAGTGGGTGGACTAGTAGTGCCGCCCTGAGCTGCTTGTTCAGGAACTGCCCCTATGCAGTCTAGGGGGTGTGTCAAACATGTGTATCTCTAATGTTTGTATAGACTGTATAGGGTCACCTCTTAGAGAGTACAACCTTTAGATATATATCCTTGTACTCAGGTTCTCTAGTCATTCATTATTGAGTTTTGAGAGGAAGGACCTAACCTACTCATGATGCCATATCAAAGTGTACAAAATAACTAGAACAGTGATATACTGTTCAAGGGAATATAACCTAATGGGTTGTACTCTCTAAGGCACAACCCTATATATCTATAACAACATACAATACCGTAATCCCCCGTATATAACACATTATGGTGTATATAAAAATTCACTAAGAAAATGACTGGGTGTTAACAGTGGCCCGGAAAAATATAGTGCCCATGTATTATGTAAAATGCAATTTGAATTTGAGTGTTTCAGGCCATGTGTGTTCACAAATGCGCGGAGCGACTGTTAGCGAAGTACAGCATCCGCTAAGACGAAACTCACAAGCCAATCTTCGTTGGCCAATCTATGCTGAGTGTTGTGGACAGGGCCAGGTTTGTGCGGCACCTGCGACCGTCATGATCGCGACAGAATCCGCGACTTCGACGAGAGGATTTCGCTCAGGAGGATTCTGACCGTCAAATCACAATAGAATTCGCAACTTCGACGGTCGAAATCCTCCCGAGTCTCGACCTTGGCTGACGTTTCGATTTCGCGCTGCAACTTGTGTTGATGTTTCTGCCCGTTTTTTCGCTGCTAATGGTAGTTGACATTGCCTTTTTCATCCTGTTCGTTATTTTTCTCAATCGATCTGAGCTTGAAAAACTACGAAATATTGTTCTTTGCTGCATAAAACGAGGAGGGTGTTATGTAAAATGCAACCCCCGAAAAGCGGGTGCTCTCCTAGATTCACCCTATCATAGGCTCTCCCCCGCATAAACCACCTGCGGAGTGACTATTTCGGCGGGTGTTATATACGGGGGGGTTACGGTATATGTTTGACAGCTCCCTCTGAAAATAGGGCCACCAAAGCCCGTGCTCAATCTTGCGTTGCATGGTATGACCTTGCCCAGTGCAGTTTCAAGTGTTCCACGGAAAGCACAAATTTATTATCGAAGTCATGAAGATCCAACATACATTGCCACCATAATCCTACCCTCCCTCTTCCCCCATCCTAACAGCACCAACTACCGCACCTCTTCCCTCTCCCTCGTCGTACCTCACGCCTAATCTCAAGCCTACTAACCCAGTCATACCATCCAACTCTGACAAGTGCTAATCAACCGCTGGGAGCCATGACGGACCATCAAGATCGCAGGCACGAGCGGCACAATCAACGGCTAGGATCCACCAAGGATCCTGGAGAGCTCGTGGCTCTCTCATGGGGCCTCTAGCCGCCATGTTTTATAGGGCCATCGACTCTAGAGGGCACAGAGCAGAGACGCACCAACGACCAGCAGAGCAGTGACCACACGAGAGACGGTGGCAACAGCCCCTGCAGGCAGAGAAAGGGAGAGGAATGCGCAGTAAAACTGGTGAGTAAAAGCATGAAGTGGATGTGTGCAAAGCTGGAAAAGTGACAATTTGGAGGGACACAGAGAGTGGAACAGGCAGTAAGAACTGGTGAGAGAAATATTGATGTGTGGCTGCATACATGTGAAGGAGAAATGGAGCCAAGCAGGAAAAAATGTAGAAAAGCTCAAATGCCCTATCAGAAACGCTTGGTACGGATGCTATAAACAGAATGTGCAACATTGCATGTAGAATGTTACATAATGCCCTCAGAGAATTGGAGGCAGTTATCGAGGAACACGAGTGGATGCATGTTACAAGCCAAAAGCAATTGAGCTTAGCAAAAACGAGGTTACCAAAACCGAAAGCCGCATGGAGAAATACCGGGGAGGGAGGCGATGTTGCTTGGGAAGACAACCGCGTTGATGTAATAATAGTCCTTCTGAGGCTCGTCAACCGCCGCAACAGCCGACGAGGTACCGGGGCTGCCCGCTGCAAGGGGATCCGCACCCGAAATTATCCCGTAGTTGGAAGCGTTGCACTTGAAATTCAAATTGTTGTCGTTGAACGCGGTCTTGATGGTCGTGCCGGTGGGGTTACACTGTCAAAAGATTTGTTTCCCACAGGGATGGGGAAAGAAGCACATAATAAATATTCCGAGCACAAACACCAAGAGTATTAGCACCAGCAAAACTGGTAACCAATGTGTCTGTGGAGGTTTCAGTGTTTTTGGTCAGTGAAACCTCGGAGGTTTGTGGAGCACCAATGACAACACTTGATGACACATGAACGACAATGCCATGCCGGACACAGACACACACACACAAACATGCCATCAAGCAAACTCACACAAAAAGGAGGGTGAATTAGCTAACTTACAGCGGCATTCAGGGTCATAATTTGGACCTTCGAAGGTGCCGTGTGGAACGACATCAGATTCAGCATCGCCGTGCGCGCTGCCTCTGAAATCGGATGCGACGTCGACGTCCCGCAACTCTTGGCCTTATTCACCAGATCCGCCAGCGCCTTGCTTCCCGTCTTCTTCCCCTTAATCGCCGCCTTCTGAATCTTGTCGCTCGCGATCGCGTCGAGCGCCTCGTACAGCGCGCCGCTGCTCTTGGTCTTCTTGTACCCTTCGAGCGCCGCGCTCCACGCCGCGTTCGTCGGCAGGAACATTGTCTGCGCGTTAGCCGGGAACTTGCAAATGCCGTTCGCGAGGTAATACAGCACATAGTACGACTTGGACACGTCTTGGAACTTGATGTTGTTCGCGAATGTCACATTTGGCTTGGGGAGCGGCTGGCCGGGCGGCGTCTCGGCTTGGAGCACCTCGTTCTCGCTATAGTCCTGCATGTAGTCGTCGTCGTAGTACGTGTCAGCAGTGGTGCTCGTGCTGCCGGCGGTGGTACCCGTGCCGCTCGTGGTGTCCGTGCCGCCTGTGGTGCCCGTGCCGCCCGTGCCGCCCGTGGAGCCCGTGTCGCCCGTGGAGCCCGTGTCGCCCGTGTCGCCCGTGGAGCCCGTGTCGCCCGTGCCGCCCGTGGTGCCCGTGCCGCCCGTGGTGTCCGAGGCGCCTTGCAGAACCCGACGCCTCCCTCCCAACGCCATAGCCGCGGAGTCGCTAGACGCGGCGACGGATCCGCCGAGTGCCGGAAGCGCGGCGGCCGCAAGGAACAGTATGAGGACTGCGAAGGCGCGAGCCGGAGTCGCCATTATGGCCTTGTTTGGCAGACACTGGAAGAGTGCTACCAGTGCTACTAGTATGAGGGTAGCAGGACTAAGCGGGCTTTCTACACAAACGAAGAGGAAAGCCACGAAAAAGGAGAAAGCTGTGACATTCAGCTGTTGGGACGGGGGATAAAATAGCTGGTGCGGCTGCTAGCCATTGCTCGAGGTTCGGGGAGTTGTAGGACGCGCACTGGTATTCGCGGAGAGGCATGGTTCCGCCGCTTGCCCCCTCCCCGTGCGCCTCATGCGTCTAGCAAAGCGCAAATATCTGCCCCACGCTGCGCGCACAATGACGTGCGCCGCGTACCACACTGTGTGCGCCTTGGGGCGACGGTAATGGCGCGTGGCCTATCGTGAGGAGATGGCACTCCCATCTCCGCGCCGGGCGGGGAGGAGATGGGGGAATGCGAGGAGGTTGTGCGTGCGGCTCTCTCCGAGCAGGGCGGGGAGAAGATTAGGGGAATGGGAGCTTGTGGGTGGGACTCCCATCTCCTCCCCGGGCCGTCGACCGCGCGGGAGCCTCAGATATCGACTCAACCCACCACATCCGGTCCAGGAGACCCCGTGATGATTCGAACTGCGGCATTTTCGCATGCTTGACAAAAATCTACTCACCTCACCATGTCAAAACGACCGCGCCGCGCAGCAGCGCGGTGCCATGGCTCGTTGGACAACCGCCACGGTAGCTTCGGTTACGCCGAAAATCCGGCGTCACGAGAAATGTGCGGCGCCAAAAAGAAAATCCGGGGGCTCCGAGCTACGAGAGACACCATATCGAACCCCATTATGCTACAACCCGCTACTACGACGTGGAATTACAGCTCAGCTCCAGCCAAACGACTTGTCGACGCGGATAAGGAATTGCTTGACGGATTAGGATTGCTTGTACTGTTCAACTGGTTTGTAATGAATGGAGGACTTCTTTCCTGATGACGACCGACGAGGACTTAGGACGGGGTACATGAGGGAAACGGTCAGGGTCGGACCCAGGATCGCGGTGTTATGATTGCGCAACGATTATGCCTCACCACACCGGAATGTCATTGAACTTTTCTCAACAAATTGAACCGCCTTGAACCCCGAACCCGTAAGCATCGTGATCCTGTGGTCGCAATCTACCCTGGAAAGAAGTCTCCTGTACCGCGCCCTCAGGATTTCTCACCCTACAGTTCCACTGTGGATGATGAGTCGACGAAGCTCTGCTCTGCAGACGCAGAACTCCAGGCGGAACTGCTTGGCGGAACTCCAAGCTCCAGCTCCAAGCGGAGATTCAAGCGGAACTGATTCGCGGAACAGCTTTGCGGAACTCAAAGCGGAAATGCAAGCGGAACGCCCTTATGACACGCCCTTATGTAACTGGTGGTTCGGCGCGGTGTATATATCTAGGCCCCACGATTCCGTCATGGCTCTTGCCAGGCTGGTGGTAGCTACAGCAGTTGAGCTCGGGGAAGTACCCTTGTTTATTGCACTGAACCGTTCGACAGCACTTCATAAATAACCCCACACCTCCACCGCCAAACCAGTATGTTGCAGTTAGTTTTGCTAAAGCGAACATCAGTGACATAATGTAACACCTATGTTATGAATTAATCAGATTCATAACATGTAGTGTAATAAAGGAGTCGTGATTCAACAGTGTCGATACAAATGAAGGCCTAGGCATTTATAGGCACGAACAGAGCTAGCCGAGAACCACGCGAAAAGTTTGGGGCGATTTGGTTGGCGAAAGTCATGGAAGCGCCGCTCCGCGCGTCTAGGTTTGGGTTCGTGAAATGGTTCGGGACTGAAGAAGTTGGCCGAGCCTGGACTTCCTAGAGTCGAGGGCGTACGCGCTGTAGTCGGGCCCAGTAAGAAAAAATAAATTTCCTTACAACCTATGTTGGGCTGAGAAATGCCCTTAGGATCTTTCCAGAGACTAAGTCCCAGTTGTAAAAGACTTGAGTAGTGCAGCGGAAGTTGAGGTAGTTGAACCCTTGTACTAGTATATGAGAACAAGTGATTGATTAAAAGAACAAGCATACAGCAATATATAGAAAGTAGGAAAGTAAAGCACTTGTAGAATACAGTTGAAAAGGGCGGTTATCGAGTCGCACAGCGACTCGATTGTCGCTTCGGTTACCATCTTTGCAGTTGTAACTGTCAGTCGCAACCTCCAGTTGTGACCCTTTGAGTCCTTTCGTGTTGTTTGTCCATCCCCTCGTGTAACCTCCGTTGACTCGCGTAACCGTTACGATCTTCCTCGAGTGTGGTGTTACACTTCAGAAACGCTTAAGTCTTTGAGGTATTTCCAACACTCCCCTTCGTTTCTGGAGTGCTGACGTGTTCAGATCCGGTGACGTTTATCTGCCCAGTCAGCAGCATGCAGTAATCGAACTTTGCCTTCGCCAGTTTCTTCGTCAGGTAGTCTGCGGCCATTTCTGTCGTAGGGCAGTAACTGAGTTGAAGTCTCCCCTTCGCGATTTCATCTTTGACGAAAAAGTACCGCAGGGCAATGTGCTTGGTTCGGTTGGCGAAGCCGTCCTTGTTCGCGATTTTGATCGCAGATTGGTTGTCGCAGAGGAGTGAGAAGACGGGCAGGATCGCAATCTTCGCTTCCTCGAGCAACTCTCGCAGGTAGAGTCCTTCCTTGGTCGCAGTATAGAGGGCGATATATTATGCTTCAGCCGAAGATAGTGCGATTAGTTCCTGTTTGCTCGACTGCCAGGAGATAGTCCCGATAGGTTCTAGTCGGTAGTTGTAGCCCGTTCTCGATCGTCGATTTTCCCTGTCCCCCGCGTGGTCGGCGTCGACGTATCCAAGTAGTTGTACGGATGGTGTTGTTGCTTTGCTGTAGGTAAGTCCGGTCGTCGGCATAGAGACGAAGTAGAGTAGTGCCCATTTTAGTTCTTCAAGATCTTCTTGTTCCGGCTGCAGCAGATGCGTCGCCAGCTGGCTTGCGCTGTAAGATAGGTCGGGTCGGCAGGTTACTGCTGCGAATAGTAGGCAGCCGAGCTTCTGCTGATACTCCCTGATTTGCTTCGCGGGGAGTTTTTCGGAGGTGTCGTTGTTGTTCCCGTAGCGGTAGGGAGTCGCGACTGTAGTTGGTGTTAGTCCGAACTTCTTTGCGACAACGCCTGCGTACTTTCCAGCGTATAGGTAGAGTGCCGAGTTGTCTTCGACGATATTCAGACCCAGGTACTGGGTCACTGTGTTGGACACCGTGAGTGTCAAGTCTTCTTTCAGCTCCCCTTCGAACCAGGTGGCGATGTCGGTAGTGGAACCGATGTAGAGCAGGTCGTCGACGTAAACGATGAGTACGATATACTCTCTTCCCTTCTGCAGCCGGTACATGCCTTGGTCATGCGGCAGTTGTAGGAATCCGATTCTGACGAGGCGACCGTAAAGATGCCGCTGCCAGAGCCGCGGGGCTTGCTTGATCCCGTAGAGGGATTTTATCAGCTGGCATACTTTTGTGGGGTCGTCGATGAATCCGTGGGGCTGCTCGACGAAGATTTCGGCGTCCACAGGTGCGTATAGGAAGGCATTTGCGACGTCGATCTGGCGCAGTGGTAGTTTCTTTGTGGCCACGACGGCGAGTAGGATGCGCAAGGAGGTGTGACGAGAGAGTGGGGCGAATGTTTCTGTGTAGTCGGTTCCGTATCGTTGATCAAATCCTCGTACGACCCAGCGAGCCTTGAATCGTTCGATGGAGCCGTCCGCATTGGTCTTGATGCGGTACACCCATTTTCCCGAGAGAACGTTCTTCCCGTTGACGTTCGTTGCAGGTACCAGCTTCCATGTGTTTCGGTCTTGCAGAGCTTTCAGTTCCTTTTCCATTGCCTCCTTCCATTTTGCCTTATGTTCCCCCCCCAGAGCCTACGACAGAGTCGTTGGCTCGCGCGGAGATGGCGGCGGCGGGTGCTGGATGGAGACCCATAAGCCGAGGATTTGCAGTCCCGTGGGTGTGTGTCGAGGGGAATTTTCATTCCCGGAATAGGCTGCTTCGTCACCATCTTCTGGATCAGGTAAGAAGTTGGGGCTGATGCGTTTTGAGATATTCGTGTCGACCGGGTGAGGTGTACGGTAACCTTGGTCAGCGAAGTGGTAGAGGGTGTCGAGGTTGTTGCTATCGAGAGGATTGTCTTCGTCGAGTGGAACAGGTACGGAACAGAAAGGGAGTGGTCCGGCAGCTTCCGAGGCTCCAGGTACGTCTTCTTCTGCTGCGTCAGCCTCGGCAGCACGGTCGGCGAAGGAACGAAGGCCCGCGAGGCCGTCGGTGGGGTCGTGTGTGTTGGCAATGTTGTCCAGGTAATGCTGCAGCGTCAGTCGCTCGTAGAAGATAACATCACGTGATGCCACCGTATTTTTGTCTTGTATGTCGAGGATTTTCCATGCGTGAAAATGCTTGGCGATGCCGAGGTGTAGTCCCCACCGTGCTCGTTGAGTGAAGCATCCTGCTCGGGCTGTATGGGGTCTGTACTGTTCCATGCAGCCGAAAACTCGAAGTAATTTTGTGCTGCCCCTTTTTCGTGTCCACAGCAGGTGCGGTGATGCGTTGTTGGGAAGCGATGACGATGACAGCAGATTGTGCAGGTGAACTGCATGTGTCATCGCGTCTGGCCACAGTGTGTTGGGCAGTCTCATCCCCAGGAGCAGCTTTCGCATCGTCGTCTGTAAGGTCCGGTTCATTCGTTCTGCGACCCCCTGCTGCTGGTGAGCGTAGGGTAGAGACACCAAGCGTCTGATTCCTCTTTCCGCCAAGTACGTCCTGAAGCGTTGTGACTGGTATTCCAGTGCGCCGTCTGACTGGAAGCTTTTGAGCTTCGTTTTTTATTCTCGTTCAGCGATGGGAAGCCACGTCTTGAAGGTTTCGAAGGCTTGGTCTCTCGTCTTGAGGTTGTAGTGCCAAACATATCTTGTTGCTGCATCGATGAACGTTATGACGTAGTTGAAGTCGGCTTCAGTGTCGTCTCGAGGCATGTTTAAGATGTTGCTGTAAACCTTTTCCATCGGTGCGTATGCAGGGGCGCTGGGATTGTGATGTGGCGGAAAAGGTTGGTGTTGAAGATCTGCTTCGGGGCATGTGAAGCACCGTGCGCGAGGTCGTCGAAGTTCCTGTCCGCTTGTTGTAAGGAGAGCGTTTCGTTCTAACACTTCGGCTTGGATGGTTTGTAGTACTGTGTTATTCGCAGGATGCCCAAGGCGTTGATGCCAGATGTCGTCGAGAGCTCGATGGCCGGGCGATCGGTGATACATGTCGGTGTTGGAGAAGAACACGACGACGGTGGCGGGACTTCGGCAGACTTCGCGTGTGGTGGGCATGAGTTGATCTGCTTCGGTTGGCGGTCCTCGGATTGCTGGTGGTGATACTCTACTGGGTCCTGCTGCTGTGATTTCAGGTGATGTCGATGAAGAGACGCTTGCCGGTACTTGTCTTTCTTGTCGAATGACTGCTAACGCCCGTGTTCTCTCTGCTGCAGGTATGGTGTTGGAGTACCAGTATCCATCTTGGTTGAAGTCGGGGTCAAGGTCCGGTGGGTGTGTCCATGCGGCGAATGACACGATGCCATCGATATCGGCGGTACCGCGGTCGGGGACGAAGTCCAATACGAAGACGCCGGACTTCAGTAGAGCGCGGCCGATGAAGAGACCGCCCTTCCCGTGGTATAGGCGAAATTCGTTGGAGTCCGAGTCGCACTCCAGGTGAATTCCTTTTGCCATTAACTGGCTGACGCTTAGTAAGTTGTATCCCAGGTTGTTGACGATGAGGACCTTGTTGAGTTGCAGTATAACGTTTGTCTCCATGGATTGTAACTGAACCACTCCTTGTCTGTTTGTCTTCAGGTTCTCGTTGTTGGCGACGGTGATGATGACGTCTCGGTTGAGACGTCGTTCTCGTTGCACGAAACGCCCAGAAGAACACATG